GGGGGGGGGGGGGGGGGCGACAGAAACAGAGTGAAACGTTTTTCGAGCTGTCGACGAATGCGCTGCTGTAGCGCCGCGCGATACAAAACGCCACCTACGGTTTCGAGAGGCGTTGTGTATTGACGTCCGACGTCCGACTACATATGAAACGTTTAGGCATCACCCCTGGTGTTTGGATGACAAAAACCTGACCACTCCCCTGAAATAAAGACGGCACCAGTACCTCGTTATATTTATCAACGGGACGTTGTAGTGTTGTATACTACGCCGCGTCCCATCTTTTGAAACCGCCCTTCCCTGTTCTCTTCGCCCGGAATGACCTGACCGCCTGCAGAGAATCGCCCAAGAAGGAGAAGTGGTCTAAGAACAACGTCTTCACCAACAACGTGGAGGCGCCGAGCTACATGGTCAACCTGCCGGGAGAACGGCAAGCTCAAGGAGCAGATTTTCGGCGGTCTCCGGCCTATCCTTGAGGAATGGTCAGGGGTGAGTCGTTCTGGTACATGATACGCACACACACTTGCACACCCTTGCTGTCATCCTTTAAGACAGCTGTTCCTCGCCGTTCGTCGAGAATTTTTTGCGTTTTGGAAGACACCCATGTTCCGAACGAGAAGGGTTTTGGAAAAAAGCGGGGGGGGGGGGGGGGGTAGGTTGGGCTCGAGTTGTAGTTTGAGCTGTTTTCAGGGCGTGATTTCGAAAGATCGTAGTCGTGAAAACTGGTTTTTGGACGTGACCGTTTCGACAGCAGTAACGGCTCTTCCTTGGCAATGCTTTGTCTGTCCACGCCAATATCTCGATCGTCATCGCAAAATAGCCACAACGACAGCAGTAACGACAACGTGCGCAGCATCTCTTGATTTTCTGATTTGTTTGTCCTCTCTCCTTGTCTGCTGCTGCCGCTGCTATTGCCGCTGCTGCGCGCCCGCCATAGGTGGAGCTGGTGCAGACGGCTTGCTACGGGGTCCGCGTGTACACCAACACGAGCTGGCTGGCAAACCACGTCGACACGAAAGCCACCCACGCCGTATCCGTGATCATGCAGGTCGACCAGGTGAGAAGGAAGATGACAGATAAACTCATCGACACACCTCCACGCTCATGTTGTGGTTTTGTGTGATCGAGCGAGCGGGGGGAGGGAGGAGGGGGTCAGAAATTGGTTTTGCCGTATTTGTTTCTTGTCATTGCGGATGCGGCTCGACACAGAGCGTATCATCGACGTGCCAGACGTCTCTTTCTCTCTCTCTCTCTCTCTCTCTCTCTCTCTCAGTCTCTCTCCTACCCGTATACTAAGTATGTTAAATACCTGTCTGACCTGGCATACTGCGGCGGCGGCGGTGGCGGTGGCCTTGTGGATTTTGCTCTTGAGTGTTGACGTTGTTCATGTTCATATCTTCATGTTGATGTGTCCCATAATCTTTATCACCGTCTGTCGAACGCGAAACAAAAGAAATGACCCCACGCACATATCACCACGAGCCCACACAGACACCGCCGGTGCTTCACCGCTTCACCCCCCCCCCCCCCCCCCCCCCCCCC